TGTTCCAGAGCCAACAGACCCACCGAGTTTTTTCGATCTCCATAGAGTACATCTGTATCTATGAATTTATCATGTATGTGTGTATCTTTTGCCAGAGTCAAAAGTCATGTGCGGCAAAATCCCCCTTGCAGATACATTGTTAATTCTAATCCCGAAAAGTAGTATGCATATACGAGAAGAATTTTGAATAGTGTATTCTAGATTTTCTGTTTCTGGAAAATATTGTTATCTTTTATCCATAAACAAGATAGAATCGGATACACAAAGACATACCCCACACTGCTCCTCGCCAACAAAATAATTTTTCATTTCCACTGAAAAGCTTTTTTGGCTAGTGGAAAGTTTTATGGCAGCAGCCTACGCACTGCGGCTGATAACCGCCTGCCAGTACGGTTATTGTAGTACGGAAATAACAGACAAAAAGTGTGTAAGGCAAAGGAACTGGAGAGCAATCACAGTGGGCTCTCGCCATATGGGAACCGCTACAGTTGTTCACGAGACGTTGGGGGGTACAAATGTGTACTGAAATTGAGTCTGTCGGTAGATCGGTCAGTCGTTTGTTGGTTCCATTCCAAAATATTGCATGGCTTGGTCAAATTTGTTATGGTTCTTCGGACCCTTCGCTATCCCTTCCTTAGGGTCACAATTTAACTCCCATTGGGGGAGCCCTGGCCAAAGCTCCCCAGGGCTCTGCCCACCCAATTCGGAATGCATGTGTGGTGTTTGTTTCTCATGCTTCAGACTTCTTGCTGCTTCGACAGTTTGTACTTTTTGTTATTCAATTTTTTATAAGCAAACACGAATACATGCACACACACAACAACACAAATACGAATATATTCCGAGCAAGTATGCATTATGCCCGATGCTCGTACATTTGTTCGTACAATTTGTGCCGTTTGTGGTATTGTTTTTGCACTCATAAATGTTTAATAAGCTTGTGTGTGCTTGTATACACAACACATGCTTGCCTGTGAACGGGTGTATCTGCGTGTGTGTGAGTATACAAGTTCTTTCCGTACAACAAAAGTGAAGAGTGTGGCGGGGTAGGGACGCCGCCGCACAAACCAAGTGTTATTTAAGTAATCATTTATCGTTGCTACTCGCCTGACATTTTGTACGATGTTTGACGGCTTGCGAGATTACGTGCAGGAGCAGAGGCAGGCTCTTTGGGTATATTAGGCAAATGCATTGCGCTGCTGATCATCCAATTGGGAGGATAAATATAAATACATACACAACATCCCTCAGCCCTAATGTATGATTATCCCCAGTATCATAAAATTCAAGATGACAAATTAGCATTTAGTATTTCGGTGTCTCCGAAGACATTTTTGATGCGAAACACACATAAAACACTTTTAAAATCCTCTTATCATTTGACCTTATTTAAATGAATTTCTGCATAAATCTGTCTACAAGCAGTCTCCTGTTGTCTCTTATCAACTTAAGCTAAAAATAATTATCAGAAAAGATTAACAGGGTTCAGGATATTAGGTGCATTAAACAACAGTTTGGACAGGGCGAATTTTGATTGCACAATTTTTTGATTGTTCTTTTGGGGCATAAATACATAACTTTGACTCTACGCTGTCGCATGATTGATTTAAAAGCAGCATTTACCGGCACCTGATCAGCTGTAAGCTATTTGTGTAAGTACAGAAGATCCTCGCCTCACGTCTGCAAGTACCACAGCGATAGCAATAAGCGCGGAATGGCGTATTGAAGACCCCACTAACCACTCTAAGGGGCTGTGCTCCAGTTACATTCGTATGGACGTAAATACATTACCAGAACAATTAAATGCAACGCAATAAATCTGCTGGTGATAACAAATTGTCAGTGTAAGAGAACACAAAAGAGAGAGCGAGTAAGCGATAAGAAAGAGAGCAACAAAATTAGCCCAGGACTGGGATAGTATCAGAAATGCAAGAAATAGCCAGAAATAACTTTCTGTAGATTAACTTGTAGCATAAATAAAGAAAGATCAATTAAACATAAGCAGAAATATGCAACGCATTGGGGATTTATTTGATAAACTCTAGTATTTAAAATGCTGATCACAAACGAAAAGAATGCCTTCTAGGAAGTCTAACAAAGGAAAACCTTGCTTATCTCATAGCTCGTATCTATTAAACCACCTATTGGGGACGATTAGGCCGGGGGAAAGGGATTTTTTGTAGATTTCAGGTCTACCAGCGGGACACAAAGGGGTTAAGGCTCGCGCAACGTCATTGACACGAACAGCCGTCCGCTGACAAGAGTAATTTGTCCAAAATGGTAAGAGGCGGCGACGGTGGACAGACCGGGCCAGACCTGGCCAACAAGTCACTGGACGACGGCGATGGTGACGGCGACGTGTGTGCGCGCAACACACGTTGAAAGGGGGGAAATAAGAGGAAGACGAAGAAGAGAGAACGAAGCAGAGATAAAAGTGTTGAGCGCGCAGAAGTCGCTACAGCGACAGCGGCGTACGTATGAAAGCAAGAGTAGCATGTGAATATGAGGAGCATGATAGGGCGATAGACGATGAGCGAGAGAGGGAGAAGAAGAGGGAGCCCCTTCAGACAACCAGCAGGGCGATGTAAGAACGAGAGAGAGAGCGGAGCTAATATATACCCGATTGTACAGTGGTGTTCATGTGCGGTTGTTGTTGTTGTTATTTGTGCTATTGCACTCGAAATTCTTTTTGCCTTTGTTTTTATGGATTTTCCTGGAAATATAACCATGAACGAAGATGGCCACAGCAAAGGCAACGGCAACGGCAACGGCAACGACATGCGCTGCCAACAACAACAATAAGAAACAGGAGCGCTGTATTTATGTATGCATGTACATATGTACATACACATTGATATGTGCATATGTGTCTGTTTGTGTATACAAAATAAAGAAAACTTCAAGTGGAAACACATGATTTTTCATGGGTCAAAGAAAACACACAATTTGTTGACTTCCTAAAACACATATTTGGAAACTTTCATACAATTAAAAACATTCTGCGCAAAATGCTGCATCCCGCCCACAGTGCGGCGCATCGCATCGACGAAATGCAGCAGACAGACGAAGACGTCGCTGCCTGGGAAGTCCTCCCACACATACACAAACACGCACGAGCGTGGCCCCCCCCCGCACTAGATTGTTCTTTTTATTTACCTTTTGGTGCACACCAACACAGAGACAGCCGGACAGTCTAGAATGTGTAAACACGTACAGGTCGCGCCTTAGATTGTGTGGGTATTTGGCGGCGCTGTTGCTTTCGATATTTTTTGTTATGTATTTGCTGTTTTATTTTTAAATCGTGCACGCACACACACAACTCACGTACGAACACACACAAGCACTTATGTCTTCCGTTCGGCTTGGCTTCTTTGGATATCTCGGTGTCCTCCGGGATGAAAAAGCAGCGCCAGCACACGCCTTAGGTGAACGATTTTCACGCGAAATTCGAAAACGACACTTGAAAAGGGATGCAACTTGTTGGCAAAATTCAAAGGACTATTCTTCTCATGCACGCCTGTTGCGCGCGAGTGTAAATGTTTTCTAACTTGTTTAGTTGTTAAACATTTATAAATAGTTCGACGACGCGCACCAGCAGTTGACCACTCAATTCAAACAGATAATCAACGGACTTTTCTGAATTTCTGATTTCAATGTGGCATGTGGCGGATGCGCGATGCGCGGATGACGGTTGAAACAAATTGTGGGGCAAAATTAGTTAAGAAACAAAAAAAACAAGATTGAACAAAATTGTGAATGAGCTATTTGCCATATTGTGAATGCGCAACTTTGTAATATATCGATGTATCGATATGCTTTGCGATATCTGGTCATCGAGACCCGTTCTTCATTTGTTTATAAAACAATTTGCGTTTCTGCGAATTCCATCAATTTATGTTCTACACAAATTTATAAATATTTAACAGCTTGTGGGCATGCGAGAAACTGGTCCGGTACCGCTGGAACAAGTTGGCGCTTCCTCCCATGAGCCGCACACTGTATGTGTGCACACACACGCACATACCTAAGCACATACACACTTGCAGACCATTTCTTTCTGGATAATTAATTACAATTAATTGATTAGCCCCACAAGAAGCCAAGGTTAACTACAGCCACTGCGTTACACTGCCCAAAGGGGCTGCAGAGGGCGCCGTCCCCCCACCCAGTGTTTTTTTCACCTGTTGTGCGCAGCAACAAGCGCCAGCGCAAATCTCACCCCCGTATCATAGGTTGGGAATCGTCTCGTGCGCCGCTGGGTGAAGCAACAGGAGGGCGGTGGGTGTAACTCGCAAAATCAATAGTCATTTAAATAATTACGCCTGCATTTTTGCAGCCATCTCTCACCTTTGGTTGCGTCCCTTTGATGATTTTTGGTTGAGCCCTTTTGACTAGCGGCCGCAGAGGCAGGTTGAACACTTTTGGCGGATATGCAAACCGCATACAGGACGCGGAATTTTGTTCGTCGCAATTATGAAAATGGCTGGGATTCCAATGCTTTAATTAATTATAATCACAATTTGTTTAGTTTTAACGCGGATCTTCGAGCAGTGTGACCGCGGAATTATCGATACAATATACCGACAGACCCTCGAAAATATACCAATATAACAATGTAATTATCGATGTTAAAAATATATAATAAAGACCAAAATGGGTTAATATTCCATTTCCTCGATTTTGATATTCGTTCTTATATTACTAGCTATCTGGGTGTCCCAAAACTTAACATATAATTTTATCAGATAGAAGAATCAATTTCATACAAAATGGGCTAATATTAAGCACTCCATTTTATTGTTTTTTTGAAAAAACATACAAAAATATGTGACGAACTCAAAAATATCGGAAAGCAATCGCTGGTGCTGCCACCCAACATAAAGAAAAAGGCGGCCTGTTCGAATGTCAGCCCAACCAAAGTATGCTCCATTGTTTAAACAAGTTTTGTAAATTTATTTATAATTATAAAAAACACACTAACATACAATATACTCGTAATATATATATATATATCTATAATATATGCATAAGAAGATTTCGCTGGTGAACATTCATAAATTCATGGCAATTTTTACATTTACGAAAGCAAATTGACTCGATACAAATACAAATCTTCTTTAAATCATTAGTCTAGGAGTAAAAGAGTAAGTTATTGTCCAGTTAATGCCACTGAATACAAAATAGGATACCAGGGCTCAATATACAGACTATTTTTTGATTACTTTTGGGCTTAAAGCGGATAATAATAAATCAATTATGCTATCTCCTGCTCTCCTACACAATTAACAACTAAAAATATCTAACACTTTATCATTGAATCGAATGAGACTTAAGAACAAAAGCAGTGCGTTTTTTTGGTGTGTGTTTGGTCGGAAGGATTCGACTGCTAATCCTCCAGCCGGCCACGTTTCAAGTGGGACAACTCCCGCAGCCAGGCTTTGATCAGGTCGTAGGTGGAGAAGCTAATGCCCACAGCTATGGGGCCCTTGAGCCAGTTCATGCTGAGGCCCTTGTAGAAACCATTCTTGATGCCCTCCTCGCTGCAAAAGCACACAAAATAAACAACTTAATCAGTTGTGTGGATGTGGATGGAGGGTCTTCTCTTACCGATAGATCTTGGAGAGCGTCTCCAGAATGGTGGGACAGCGTTCATTGTTCGCTTCATTCACGCGCATCGTCTGCATTCTTCGTCGCACAATATCCAGGGGATAGCTCGCCGTTTGGCCAGCGGCACCAGCCGCAGCACCAAACGCCAGCGAGACTAGAGTATTCGGTTTATTATTGCCAACCATTTCTGCAAATAAAGCAAAACATTTTAGCGTGCAAATTCACTATCATTTGTGGGATGAAGCACTCCTCACCATGGTACTCCCGCTTCAGGGTTTCGTAGGTGAAAAAGGAGGTGCCCGCGTAGGGTATCACGCCCAGCACTGTGGCCCAATAGCCACGGTACAGCGTGCGTGGTCCCTCCTCCACCCAAATCTTGGCAAAGACCTGCCGCAGCGTTCGGTAGCCCGTGTATCTGTCCGTGACAGCCATGCGTGCGCGTGCCAGATCCAGAGGATAAGTCAACGATTGGGATGTGATGCCCGCCAGTGAGCCGGCCACAAAGCGACGTAACTTTGTGCTGCAACAGAAAGAGAGAGTCAAAGTGGAAGCCAAAAGGCAGCTGGTTAGATTGTAACCCACTTGGAGCCATCCTTGTCGACCTGCAGTATCCTGCGCCACTGCTCGTGGGCCGTAAACTGTATGGCCGCATAGGGCACAATTCTGGCCATTGTGGCTGAGTTGCCGCGCCACAGGGCCAGGACACCCTCATTGGCGTAGGTGTGCTGCAGATACCGCAGCGAGGCACGAAACGAGAAGGGAACATCTTTGCGTATCTGAAAATTGATCTTTGTGCGGTCCAGCGGTGCGATGACAGTCTTGGCCAGAGCACCTGCCGCCGCTCCAGACACCAGACTAATGACCACCTGGTCGATATTGGTTCGAACTAAAGAAGGGAAAATTAAAATCAGCGGGAAATGGCAGCAGTCTAGGAAGACCTACCTCTGGGACTGGGACTGGGGCTGGGGCTGGTGTTGGCTGTATTGGCGGGTGTTTCTGTTACTTGATGCGCTCCATGCGCTCCATCCTCATCCTCCAAGTCTGTGGATGCAGCAGCAGCAGCAGTGCCCTCACCCGTTGCCGTGGTGGCCGCTGTGCTCGATAATTGACTACCCGTTGACTTGATGGACATGGCAATGTTCGGCTTCTCCAGAAGACGGCTCATGGCAGACTCTGACTCCTGGTTCCTGGGGCAAAAACGAAACGAGAAATTAATTTTCATATCAATTTGAGCCATGCATAAGCAGTGGCTTATCATAACAGCCGATAACAGCCATCAAATATAGCCAAAAAGTGCCCGAAATAAAACCAAAACAATTTCCATTCTCTCTACCAATTTACTTTCGCTTTGTGTCGGACACTGACTGTGCACTTATACGACTTCTAATCATTACGAGGCGTGCCTCATACACCCATAGATAGAAATATAGATGGTCATATAACATAGGGACATATGGACAGTGTATACAGTAAACTCTCGAAAGGATGCATTTCTTTAAAGAGAAACAAATTGTGTTATCGAAGACAATCTAATGGCACACCCTCATCCCTTCCTCACCAGAGATCTCCCTAAAATCGAAACACCAAATGCATGTCCTGTGCATGACGTGGCAGATTAAAGCTTGATTCGATATAAACAAATATTTTTTGGACTGCTCAGATAGAGCTTTGGCCTCCAACAAATAATATTTTTCAACTTTCTTGAGATGTCAATGAGGGAGGGAGGCGTGCAAATTATATTTTGGGTCAAGTCGAAGATAAGTTGTAGGTTTTTAGTTTGATGTTCAACGAACTTTTAACGATTGCCCAACTAATTTTGTTGGGTTTGGTTCCTACGTAAACGATCCATAAGCAATACCTTTCCAAACAAGCATCAGTTTGGGTCCTAATTCACTAATAATATTTAATATAATAATAATAATTCAATTAAAATATTAAATATGTATACTGGAAATTTGTATTTTCTGTGTCCGTTTGTTTATGGGAAATTTATTAACCACCAATTGCACCATGTTTACACTGTGCTCTCTCTTTTTGAGCCTCCACTGTATGTATGTTCTGATGTGGTAGATTTATTTTCGTTGATAAGAAAAAGAGCGTTTGGCATGTCTATGCCAAAAATTAGAAACTGTCACAATTGTTTCGCAATTGAAGCAAAACCGAGCCAACGAATTCTTCCCTGGCATAAGTTCAAAAAAGAATCTTTTCAGACACAAATTCTTGGCCAAGTTGAAGCAGTTGGACTCTATGTTATCTGCCCTAAGGGTAAGCAACATTCCGAATTGAACTTTGGTTTGGGCCCGCGGTGCGTGCCAAGTATTGGCTACTGAAAGCGCGAAACTTGGTCACAGATTAGAATGTTCTATGATTAAGCAGCCGCACCTGATAAGATTCGCTTTGTACGAGCCAATTGCGTCTTACAATAGATAGGAGGGAGCAACCAATACAATCATGCTGCTGGGCGATCGACCCCTGGGCTCGGGCTCGCTCTGTCTTGTTGTTTGCTCGCATAAATTGCTAAACAAACCGCAAAACCGGTTGGGTTTGTGTTGGTGGGTGTTCTACGAGAATTATTAAGAGCAAACAACCCAACAGCAGCAATAGCAAATTATCAGTGGAGACCCAAAGCAAGGCCTTTCGGTGTAGCACACACCTCCAAAACAATTATCATGCGAAGTGTGTGTACATGTTTGAGTAAGTGTGTGTGTGTGTGTCAACGCACGTGTGGAGAGAATCACTTTGGGTTTTGGGGTGGGCACGGTTCCAAGTGGGCAGCGGCTAAAATTAACGCATTTCATTGACAGATCGGTGCAGGAAAGCTTTCAAAGAGAGAGAGCGAATCATTAGCGCTGTATAGAAATACATTCGCAAATTTCGCATAAGGCTGGCCTTGAACGTGATTGTGGTGTGGCGGGGGGGACAACATTAGCAGAGGCATAGGCATAACTACAATAACGGTGTATTGAATAGCAGGTAGGGCATGCTCAGCAAAGACTGCACCGAAACTGTAAAAGATATCTCTTACTGCTTTACCTTCTATTTATTCCTACATACACTGCTTGCATTCCAATTGCCCTGCTTTCGTTCTGATAAGAGTAGAATACCGTTTTGAACTATTTTGAGGCCAGGCAAATAGCTTTCAGCACAGGGTACGCTGCAAGGAATGGGGATGCTGCTGCTGTTGCTGCTGCTGCTGCCGGCGCAACGCTCAATGAATGCAAACAAGTTCGTTAGCAAATGGTTTGTTGTTTTGCACTTGAGTCAAGGCTATATCCAGTTGATCCAGGGAAAAAGTTGCTCACTCCGTTTCTAGTTCTGATGCTGGCATTGAAATTTGTTTGTCGCTGCGATTGAGAAAACACGGGCTGGTCCATAAATAGGCACACTCAAACGCCAGCGAAACGGGGGAGAGGGCTGGAGAGGTATCATTTTGGACTGGACTTTGTACCCGGCAGTGGAAAGTCAGTCGGGGCAAGTGGAATTGAATCAAGCAAGACAACAACAAATTGAAATTGCTGATACTACATGCTATATGGTTATGGTTATAGTATGCAAATTCAATTAGTTAGAGCATGCATTTACTTGGCAAAGAACGCAGTTTGATTCGCTTTTATTTGTTGTTTACTTCTGGAAAGAGCTACGTGACTTTATTCTTATTGGATTCGAAAGAGAGAGAGGAACAGCTGTTTCTCGATTTTCGCTGCAGTTGTTGTTGTTGTTTTTACTGTTGGAAATATTTTTCTTTGTCTGAGAGACAGACACACAAAGACAAGTGAAAATTATTTACCACCCCATCCACTCGTATTTAATGTGCTACCTTAGCTAATCTTTTATTTACATATCTATCATAAGGGGCCTTGTTCACTCCAGTTTATTGCAACACAAAACACTTTCACAGACACACACACACACACCCACAATCACATTGTACATTGTACATTATATAATTAGGTAAGAAAAGAACAACAATAAATTATGTTGAAAAGCTCTTAAGGCAACACACACCTTTTGTTTTTGTTACTAGCACAGATTTATTCTTGGCGATTCCCCTCGAAACCGAAGTTTCGGCTTACACTTTGCACTGGCACTGTATCTGCCTCGTAGGTTTCGGTCATGCCAAATGAGTGAATTCATTTATTTCACAATTTCGTCGGTCGCAAACTCTTGTATCATTATTTTTGTATTATTATTATTATTTCCGCGCGACTTGGGGTTCAGTAGGACCGCAGAATTATCGAGAAGATATACCGTCGGGTCCTATAAAATATACCGAAATATACTTTTTCATTTTCAAAATATACCGTAAAATATACCGTAGTCTTAGATCAGATTCCTCGATTTTGATGTTCTATTTCATTTTACTAGCTAGTTAGGAGTCTCAGCGCCAAAACTATAGTTTTAGCTGAAGTATCAATCAAATCTCCACATGATTGTCCTATTGTCATGACTTAGTTTTATTAGACTGTGTATTAAATAAGATTTAAACGAAGATGGTCTAAACATGCCATAACTGTAAATGCGCATTAGCTACATATTAACTACATATTTATGTAATTAGCAACACAACTTTCTAAACCTTCATTATCATCTTTTAAAATTGGGAATGAAAAGTGCTGTAGGTGAAAATCACAACTTGTTACTTGTCAAACGATGTTATAATAATTTGATACCCTATTTCCATTAAACTCTAGAAGCTAGATATAGCCTTAAATATGTAAGAGGGTGGCTGAGCGTTGCCACTCCACCAAAAACTCGTCGTATGGCAGCAGGGTTTTCATGCTTTGTAGCCAACTTCACGCGAGACGCACTGAAAACAAAAACAGTACAATAAAAAAAATCAACATTTTGCTCAATAAAAAGATGAACGTGGACTTGAGGTCGTATTCGCGGCACTGGCTCACGGAGTTTATAGAGCAGTACCAGGAGGAAGAGTGCCTGTGGCAGCCGAAGCACAACGACTACAGCAATCATGCCGCCCGAAACAGATCCTACGACAGGCTGGTGGAGAAGCTCAAAGAGGTCGAACCGAATCCCGACCGACCCATGGTCGTAAGGTTGTAATGATGCTCCCCTATCTCGCAATTCGATCTAACGTTACTTGCTTTTGCTTTGCAGAAAGATCAACTCACTTCGCTCGGCATTTCGGAGAGAGTTTCGGAAGACGACCTGCAAGAGCGACTACGAGACGCGATTGTGGTACTACGACAAGCTGCTCTTCATTGCCGACCACAAGCCCAAGCGGCATGAGCTGGGCACCAAGCCAAAGCGCGAGTTGCAGATCAGCTTTGACGACGAGGAGTCCATGGAGTACGAGGAGGAGTCCCATCACACGAACACACAATCCCAGCATATGGACAACTTAGCGCCCACATCCTCCGACGAAGTCGAGGAAGTCTCTGCCAACAACAATGTGGTGGTCAGCAGTGAGGGCGCAACCCTAAGCACGATAACCGTGACGCCAGCGGATTGTGTGACGCTGGTGAAGAACGAACAGCATCAGCATGACGCGGCTGCCGTCCAGGCACACCAGCAGCTAGTGGCACAAGCGGCGGCGGCCCAGAACTCCATAGCAGCTGCGGCAGCCCAGGGACATGCCGTCAAAGTGCTGGAAATCACATCCCTAGACTCCAACTCTCAGCGTGAGATACAACAGGTGAGCGGCTACCATTTGGTTCTCTCGTGGCAATAAATTAAAGTTTTTTCCCGCAACGCAACAGGCCGTCAACTCACTGGAGCAACACCAGCAGCAAATGCATCTACAGCAGGCGAATGGTCACAGCCAGTCTGTGCCGACCATTCAGATCGGACGCGAACACTATCAGCCTCTGTTTAGCAATGCGGGCACCACAGCGTACACAGCCGCACCGCAGCCTCCGCCGCATGACGAATACGATGCGATTGGTGTGAATGTGGCCAGCAAATTGCGCGTCGTCAATCCCACGCAGCGCATCATTGCGGAGAAGCTAATCAGCGATGTGCTCTTCAATGCCCAGCTGGACAACCTCACCGTCAACTCGATCGTAACGCAGCAGTAATCTCAGTTGCAATCGCCAATATTTAGGATAGGAATAACCCAGTTTAATAGAATCCTTTTATGTCACATTCTGATTGCTCTTTCCACTCTGACCTCCTTTGTGGCTAGCAGCAGTTGGCTAACTGTATCATACCGTTCGTTTGTAGTTTTTAATTAATTCTATACAATAAATAGATTGTATATTTTAAGATCAATCCATGTCCTCTGCCCCCTCTCATGTCTGCCTCATTTCGCACTGCTTGTCGGCTGCGTCTCCGCCGTACTCTGTTCTCCTTCACCTGTTATCTTGTGCCAAACGAATCTGGCAAACTAAACGAGGGATTAAGACATCATTAATGGATGCTTCTTACTGCCAGGAGCCACCACTCACCGTGACCGGCGGGGAGTCTATCTGCTCCGATTCTGTGACCAATTTGCGATTGTTCTGCATGTAGCTCCAGCCCAGGTGTATGCCAATCAGGCTGGGCACCATCACAATGGTGACCAGGTTGCGCGACACAAACGATGGTTGTTTAGGCATAATGATTGCTAAATTTGACAGAAAAAATTATTATTTAACAAAAACAAGACAGTTACAGTGTGACTGCAATGGGAAAAGTACTGCTTCGTCTGTAAAAATACCAACACGATAGAACGAGTTGGCAGGGCTAAACTGTTGAGATTTTCAAATAATTATACGGGGAAACGCTGGAAACTGTCCATTCCATACTTTGTGAGCAGTTTTTGGCTTAGTTCAAAGTCCTCAATATCCCAGAATAAGGCAGCAAATAAATACGTTCTTCAATTGTGTGGATAGGGTTGTGGATGGAGTGGGAGATAAACACCTGTCAACAGTCTCATACGTTGTGGTTTTGGTTTTTGATTGCCTCATGTATTTGCCTGATCTATGACACTATACCATAGTGCACCCTACACACGAAGAGTATAACAACTATGTCATAGGATTTGCCACTGTACGGCTTTAGTATTTAATTGAATCGAAAAATAAGTAAATAGGCTGCCCTTAAGCCCTTTATCAACACTGCAGTCAAAGCTTTGGAATAACTGTTAATTGAATCTATTGGTGGTGGGGGTGTGGGTTAGATTTTTTAACTCGACTTTGGGGCTAGGAATAAGTGTGAAATCCACACTCACGACCGATCAGCGAAGCCCCCACTCTAGAGTCTGATGCGGCCAGTGCACTTTGCACACAAGCCAAAGGCAAACACAAGCCGCAATATGCCATTGACGGGCACACACCTACACCTACACCTACACCTAAACACCGAAGCAAGCAGCGCGGCGAACGTTGTTAGTTTTTGGCAGCAGCAGCAGCAGCAGCATTTCCCACTGACAAACAAAAACACAAATATTTTTCTGTCGCCGTCGTGAGCGGACGCTCTCACTCTACACCACAGCAAAGTGCAATAACCATTTGTTTCAGTGAATCAAATTTTTGGTTGAGATTTAAAAGTGAGTTTTCCCTCTGAGTGCCCGTTCTTTATTTTGCTTATTTATTGCCATTCTCCTTTACATTTTGCCGTGTGTGCCACGCAGTGAGGAAGTTACTAAAATCGATATTTGCATATGTGTGCATGCAGCTGGACATTCTCAGATTCAGGTAAGCGGACTCCCCCTCCCGCGGCTGCATTGGTTTGCCTGTCCTTGGGCTTCTCTTCGTTCATTTTCATGGCGTACTTTTCGTTGTGTTTGAACACGCAAAAGAAAACGATAAAGCCGACAATGTTTATGACCAGCGCCAGCATCAGGGTGTAGAATACCACAATGATCGCCTTCTGCCGACTCGTGCGCTGGCTCCACGGCACATGCTCAGGGGAGAACTACGGGGAATGGAGGATGAAGATCAGGCCAGACAGTGACAGCACGTCTTACCGGCATAATGAAATATAGAGAAAATGAAGCAGACTGGCCCATTTATTGCTCGAAAGACACTTCGTTACTTGAGATTTATTGTACAGGATTTACCTGGCAAAGGTTACTGCTTACTGAATAATGCCCTGTTGCCGCAGCGAGGCGAGCTCCTCAGGCCCATAGCCGAGCAGCTCACTCAGCACGGCATCCGTGTGCTCGCCCAGCATGGGTGGAGCCGTGCGGGCATCGTTGCGTGCCTCGCTGTACACCACAGGCGGACCGACCACCTTGACTGATCCATCGCGAGCATGCGGCAGTGTCTTGACCAGGCCAATTGCCTTAATGTGCTCATCGTCGAACACTTCGCTAATGCTGTTCACCGGGCCGACCGGGAACGGGGCACCCTCGAAGCGTTTCATCCAGTTCTTGGAGGTTTCCTGCGCCAGAATCTCCTCCAGCAGTTGGACCAACTCCTCGCGATTTTGGACTCGATCTTTGTTTGTCTTGAATTTGGCATCTTCCGCCACAGACTCAATGCCCAGCAGGCGACACAGCTCCACGAACTGCGCATCGCTGCCGGCGCCCAGCGTGAGGTAGCCATCCTTCGTCCTGAAGCTCTGATACGGCACAATGCTGGAGTGGGCTGTGCCCCAACGCTTTGCCTCGGTGCCTGCGTTCAAGTAGTTGCTGGCGACATTTATCAGCAGGGAACAGCAGGTGGACAGCAAGTCCACGTCGATCTTCTGGCCACGCTGAGTCTTCTGCCGTTGGTAGAGGGCTGCCAGGATCGCTCCATGGGCATACAGCCCGGTGGCCACGTCTGTCACGGCCACACCCACCTTGCTGGGCGGACCATCCTTCTCCCCAGTGATGTGCAGCAGGCCACCCACGGAGGAGGCAATCACATCGTAGCCCGGACGTTTGGCATACGGCCCCACCGATCCATACCCACTGAGTGTGCAGTAAATGAGCTTGGGATTGATTTTCTTCATCTGCTCGTAGCCCAGATCGTAGCGTTCGAGTGTGCCCGGAACGTAGTTCTCCACGAGGACATCACTGATCTCTGCCAGCTTGTGGATCAGCGCCCTGCCACGCTTCAGGTCAATGCAAACGCTCTGCTTGTTCCTGTTTGGCGCTAGAAAGTAGGCGGCATCTTTGCTATGCTCCAAGAAGGGGGGACCCCACTTTCTGGCCTCATCGCCGAAATGCGGACGCTCCACCTTGATGACCTCTGCCCCCAAATCAGCCAGCACCATGGTGCAGTAGGGACCGGCAATGATGCGGGTCAAGTCCAGAATGCGAACGCCCTTCAGCGGATGCTCACGCTCCCCCACAGTAGCATTGTTATCGCTGTCGTCGCCAGTGGCGGCTGCAAAGTTTCTCAAGCTCTGGCAAGCTCTGTAATTAACAAAGCCACAATGGAGTCGCTGGCAGAGTTTCGGTGACAACATTGCTCTCGGTCGGTTGTCGGCTGCAGCTACTAACTTATCTAGTGGCTATCTATGTATGTTACGGCGATGGAAAGTTTTGCGACCCAACTTGATCCGCGGACACATTTATCGTCACTGGGCAAAAGAGACCCCCACAACGGAAGCTCACTTGAAGCTCTCTCTCATTATGTCTCTCTGTTTATCTTTTCTGTTATCTTTTATTGTTTACTCTGAGAGACCACTAAAGAGAGGAGCAACGTTTAAGAGCTGCGTTCCTCTGCCGCACTCTTCACCGACTCAATTCACGTTTCACCTTGGAGAATTCCCCCACGCGAGTCTGAATCCTTTCAAATCATGACTGTAAAACTAGTCCCTTGCGTTGTGCGTGGCGAACTACCACAATCGGAGTTTAATAAGCCCCAGATGGCATATTATTACAGCAGCGCATGAGATCTTTTATTGCTCTGCGTGGCTGCCTGGTTATTATCGTTCTGATTCGTTCTCTGTAATTATGCCACCTTGCTGACATCTTGGATGGCGTGATCTCAGCACAAGTATTCGCATTCGACCATCTAAATGATTAGTTTGGCTTCTAGCATTTAAAGGTATTTATTTTTTGTTTGTTTGTTGTTCTACGTCCAGTCCCTAATATGGTGCAATTATTTCCTAATGCCCCCAGACAATTAAAAAGCAATTTTATTGTCGTAAATAAGTAACTTACGCCTGAATGCTCACCATAAGTGTCGGACTGATCACTGGGCTACCACGCACACCGTCCCTTGAGGTCATAGCACGATCTGTAAACAAATCGTTAGAGTGTTCCAAATTGTATTGATTCATCGCCGCGTGCATTGATTGGGAGCTGAGATAATAATACTACAATGGTTTCAACAAAAGTTTCCTAAAGTTACAATGACATGTCCAAAAGAGTCCGAAAGATATATAAAAGAGAGCTTGTGTGCACTCATCTACAAAGTTTGAACACTCCCACACGGCGTGTATTTTGTTTTGTCCATTCTCAGGCATTCTCTTTGACACTGTTCGCTTGTGCGTCAGTTGCCTGTGCAGCAAAGTCCTACAACTGACGTAAATCTATGATTATATATCAGCCCTTCGATTGATATAGTTTTTATTGGAATCCATACATTATGAATGTAAATATCCAATATGATTCACTGTAATCTTCCCGTAGAGGTTTACTCCAATCCACAAGTGTCAGATCTATCACTGAGCTCTACGGGGGGTGTACACTCCACACACATATTTTTGTAATCATTAGGAAAACATCAAAACAGCTGCAACGACATGCAATGTGCGAGTATTAGCTTTGATTTCTTAATGATTATTAATTAAGGAACTGATTGGACACGAGCATGTGAGATCTGTAGAACTATGAATGGGGTGCAAATAGAGCTGATTCATTGACACACGTTCTAAGTGTATCCCAGGCGACTTATCTGTTAAGGGAACGTGATACTAAATGGGTTCAGGGTTCGAGCTTTCTGTTTGAGTTCTTAGGAATTGTTTTTTCACACTCTTTGTAAATAGACCGGAACAGGGTTTTCCCCCGGAAACCTCAGCTTGAAGCAATATTTATACAACGAATGACGTTGCTGGGCTCCTTTGTTTGCATGCCGCTGATCTCAGGCCGAGCTGTAACTAGGGGTCAGCATGCATAACTTTACAAGAGAGAAAAACACACACAGATCATGAGCGTTGATCAGTTATGTCTGTAATTAGCGCCGATATGGGTCCTCCTCCTCCTTTTGTTTACAGCTGAAAGTCATTCCAATTGCAATCTCTGGTAATGTGGGGTTCAACGGGTCAGGGCAAGTAGTTAACTGCAGGGATAGTAAGCCCATACGTTGGCATTGACGCACTTGTAACTGATGCTTAGTCAGAGCAAAGCCATTTCCATTGGGAACTACTTACTCGTACAACAAAGCTTAAGAGCAGCCTAAAAGCATTGAAGAGAGTACGCAGACAAAGAGAGACTGAGCGAGAGAGAGAGAGAGAGAGAGCAAAGCTCTTCAAAGCAACGCTTTAAATACTTTGCGGCATGCTTGCCCCATGTTTATTTGCTCTGCTCGTCTCGTTCGCGTCGGTTCGGTTCGGTTCGGTTCAGTTCGTTTCGGAATAGATTCATCCGACAGTCAGATAGAAAAGTTAACCCGGGCTGCCCCGATTGAAGCCTGGAATGTGATAGGGCATACAAAATTAAAAGTGTAACCAAAATGAAAGCCGGAGAAACGTTGCGCATGCGTGTGCCGTGCCAGTCGTGTCATATGCGAGTGCATCCCAGAGATACTTTGCCTGCGCAAAACTAGTTTCGGGGGCTAAGAAAGTAACGCAACTATTAGCCAACTGACCAAAAAGGCATCACACACAGATCCCCCTCAGCCCAGTCCGGTGTTCAAGTGAATATTGTGCAAGCGAAAATACAGCAGCAGCAGCAGCAGTTGCCAGTCGTCTCTGCTGGCACTTTTTGCCATCAATTGCAGTCAGCTGCAACATTGCACAATCCTGCCAACCTGTTCAGATACTCGTGTGTCCCCAGCCCCCCCTCAGTCCAGCCCGCCCAGTCGTGTGTGCAGTGTTGTGTAGTGGCGCCATTTATCTGCGAGATAGAGTGCGCGCTCTCTTTAATTTGTTGTCAAGCCTCTCCGTGTGTCAAGCCGTCAAAATTGCTGTGCTACTTTGTTCCAGGATCCTGGGGTACATCATGCGCCGATTCCTGCGCTCGGCCATGATTGTCTTCAGTTGGTTCGTGGTGCCCTACAGTCGGTACACCAACATCAAGGTGATACGGCGCAAGCTGCCACCGATACGCAGCCACCTGCTGGAGATACCTGCCGTTGATCTGGCCAAGCTGATTCGCACCCGAAAGGTGAGTACGCTCCATTTTGTTGTTGTTGTTTTTTTGTCCATTTCATTTAGGCCACTTACGCAAAAGAAACACAAAAAATAATGGTCAGGCCTTGCAAATCTTGCAAAATCAATGGCCAGCCAACAGATAGTTGCCACAGCAGCAGCAGCACTTTCGGTTGCCACATCCATTAGATACATTGTGGCAAAGTTTGAGGCAATCAACCCCTGGGTGCCCAGACATCTCCCCATTAGCTGAAGCTCACACATTAGCAGCTCGTCTCCGTCTCAGACTTGGACTCTCAGACACTGACTCGCCTCTCAGACTGGCGCTCGGCTCACCTTTGCCTCTGAATTTCGGCAGAAAGCGCAAAAACGCATAAGACAAAGATATTACTTTTCATTTACTTTATTTTCGTTGTCGTTGTTGTTTTCTGTCGCTTTATTGAGTCTTTTAAATGCCTCGTCCGACGCGGTGGCACTCACTCTTGCCCCTAACATTTCAATTAGACGTGCGGGGCTATAAAAAAAAAAGTACAAGGGAACCAAGTTAGGGGTTTAATACCCTTCCCAGAGCATTAAATACTTTGTCATGAAGAGCATTGCCTTGATAAAGGCCTTCGAAGCTCAAAGGTGGATTTAGTCATTTAATTTATTTATCTTACGCATTTTGGGAAAATATTTATTAATAAGAAAAGGAGAGGAGCTTACTAGAATCTTTATCTTGAGTTCTTTGACCATTTTAATTCTTAGGAACTAGAACTATAGAAATTTCTTGCTTTCAAGATAAATAAGAGTGTAATTTAGAAGTTTCCTAGTTATATTAATCATTGCAGAAACACCTATTTTTATGGCAAATATATGCTGTTGATATAAATATTGTAATTGTTCTTAGATACTAACAAATATTCGAATGTGTTTCTGATAGCAAAACTTCTAGATAACTTTTTAAAATAAAATTAAAACTGGATGTACACATGTCTTTCCCCAAAAAGCATTCACAAAATATTCTCAAAAGCTTCGACAATATTTCGATTCAAATGAAACATTTGTGATCCTTGGAAACTTTCCATTGCATTGCAATTTGCTTTAAAAACTTTATATGATCCCAGCCAGAGTATAACCCCAGATGAAATCGAAATCAATTTGGGTTTTGTTTTGTTTTTTTTTTCGTGTGTCGGCGCAAGCACAAGCAAGCGGCAATTGGCCCAAAACGGATAGCTACAGACACGAGGCATTGAAGAAGCAGTCAGGGAATTAGTCATCTGAAGTACGGCCATTAACAAAGAGCGTTTTATGAGTCGAGCAGCAACAATTTCGCAAAACAAAAATTATACCAACGGCCTAGACAGTCAGACAAAAAAATAAATAAAAAACATACTAAATCCAACTGAAGAGCATAATCCGTAAGATGTGGACATGGGCATGTGCATGGGATGGTTGGGACTTACATGACGAGAGAGAGAGAGAGATCTTTGACCTGCCTGAACCATCGCAATGGGTTTTGGCTGTGGATTGCCTCGTGCTTTCGTGTTCATGTGCAAGATTTCATGGCGTTCATTGGTCCACATCGTGTGAGGTCACTACTTGACAGACCTTATCGAGACCCTCCCCAACTAACCCCCTCCACTTTGTTGCATGCACTGCCCGTGTAGTTGATATTTTAGTGCACGTTCCGTCGTGAAGTACAAAAGATTTTTGGTTTTGTTTTTGTTTTTTACTGCTGTTTTCGAGTCTTCATTCGCGCCAGCACTCATATCTCATATGGTGCGTACGCGTATGTCTGTTGTCTGTTAAATATTATTATTTTAATTATGTTTTTTGTTGTTGTGTTTTTTCCACTCTTAATTGCTGGTTGTTTCATTGTCATGGGTTAAGCATTGCCTCACTCCGCGCACGGGGGGAGGCTATTGCCAAGCGAAATGGTTTTGTAATTGAGATTATATCAGAAACCGCATCTATAGCCATTTATTATAGAGGGAGGTCTGCGCTTGTCCTCTCAGAATATTATATGACAGCGAGCTGGAGCTGCTGCCCTCAAGAAGGAATTTACTTAATTGCCTTCTGTCTGCAGTTATTTAATTAAGATTTATTTGTAATTGTTACTTATCAAGAGAGAGAAAGAGAGAGAGTGTGGAGACATCATAGAGTTCCGAAATTGTACTTGTACTGGGAAGGAATCGTTTTCGCTTTTAAACATTATTTGGGTTTTGCTTAGCCTGCTGCTTCTTCAGACTTTTTAGCAATTTCTTCATATTACACACAGAGAAAAAAGGATCT